TCAACCGAGACGATATGACAACGGAGGTCCAGAGCCGATGGAACTCTGTTATGTAGAGAGCGAGAAGGCTCGCTCTACAGGCTACAAGAAGTTGCAGAGATGCAACAGATGTCAAAAGACAGGACACTACGCTTACGAGTGTAGTGCCCCTCGTCCAGTGTCTCGCGACACTGGGCGTAGTGACCGTCCACCCATGAGAAAGGGGCAGGGACGAGGGTCCGCAGTTGGTGCAAAGACGCAACAACGGGATGGACCGTCAAAAAACGGACAGGATCAGTAGGTGCGGAGCACCCTACTGATCCAGCAACGTCAAGAGAATTTGTAGGCCTCTTGATGAAGGTTGCTCCCAACACACAGACATTGTGCGTTGCTGCTCTAGGTAATGAGATCTCACTCATTACCTTGAAACCTCGAAGTGACGAATAAGTTGTCCCTTCGAGCTCTAGTCGATTGTGGGGCGTCCAACAATTTTGTGCGACGCCAATCGCTAGAAGATGGTCACTTTAAATTCAGTGAATGTGACACACCTCCTACGAGGATGACGGTACGTCTTGCGACAGGCGCATCCGTAACCGTCATGAAGCGTATAGTGAAGATTCACTATACGCTAGAAGATACCCAATACGACGATGACTTTATCGTATTGGATTTGGATGACAAATTTGATGTCATCCTTGGAATACCGTGGCTCAGAAGGTACGAACCACGGGTAAACTGGCAACATCGGACAGTAACGATGCCTGCCGCTTGTTCATCAGATGGCCATCTGATGAACGTTTTGGAGCGTCCACAAGCGTGTGGATGTACTACGAGTGAGTGCGATGGCCTCACTTGTGGTACGGTCGTTAGTACGACTGCACAAAACCTTAGTGTACCAAACGGTTACACTTCGGAGCAAAGTTCCGGCGGCTGTGAGGAAACACAGGCTGCGCCGAAGGTCCACCACTCGAATAAGTCGGGTGGACTGGGACAAAGATGTATCCCTAGAGGGGAACATCTAGAAGAGAAACAATCGATCGCTCAGGTTAAGCGAAACGATAATCCTAGATCGACTGGAGAGTCTTTCGTAGAGGATCTCGCTGTGGTTGCGCAACCCCAGCTAGAGGAAGTAAAGGGAATAAGTCCCAAGATTACAAATACGGCGGAAATAAGTTCCCCGAAACCCGCGGGAATAAGTCCCCGGGAAGACGAAGGAATAAGTCCTTCGAAGCCTGAGGGAATAAGTCCCCAGGAAATGACAGAGACATTGAATGTCATAGTCAATAACGGATCATGTGTAGGCGCTTATACACTTGATCTGATTGCGCCTCCGAAGTTAACTTCGGAGATCACTCAGTTGCCAACGCTCGAACATAAAAGGTTCTTGCGTGATCTGCGTAGTGGCAAAGTCAAGCAGATCTGCATACTCGTCGCTGACGACGAGTATGTAACCGACATAAGGTCAGCAACAGTGTTTACTGAGAACGAGAGAGTTCTCAGTAGTTCATCTATGGACGAGAGTGTCCTAGATGAAAAGACACGAATTGAGCGATATGAGTCCCAATCATGGGAATCGCTCAAGGAAAATCCTCTCTATGAAGATTTGGTTGAATTCAAGGATGTATTCCCTGAAACTGTTCCGTGCGAATTACCGAAGGATAAAGGTATTCGACACGAAGTCGAGCTTAAACCAGGCTCGAAGTACTGTGTCAGCGAAGCAGTGGCCACTGCCTCGTGAACAAGTACTTGCGATCGACAAGTTCTTTGCCGATCGTTTAGCAGCGGGCCATGTGAGGGAATCAACTTCCCCACATAGCTCTCCGACCTTCTGTGTGCGAAAAGCAACAGGAGGGTGGCGGATAGTGCACGCGTTTAACAAATTGAACGCTGCAACGGTACCGGCTCAGACGCCGATACCGAGGAAGGACGTAATCATTGATGGTATGTCAAAGAGTACCATCTTTTTCGTCCATGGATTTGATGGATGGCTTCTATCAAATCCTAATGCGGGAACGGGATATACCCTATACCGCAGTTAGCACGCCTAGCGGCATGCTCTGGGAATGGCTAGTAATGCCACAAGGGCTCAGTAATGCCCCTGCCACGTTCAACAGGTGTGTATCACATCTGTTGAGGCCAGTACGAGAATTCGCGCCGAGTTATTTCGATGACGTATTCATCCATAGTCGAGCTATGGATGGAAAGTCGGACGTTGAGGTTCACAAGTACCACGTCCGACAAGTTCTTACAATCATGCGAAAGCATCAATTGTATGCAAACCTCAAGAAGTGTATATTTGCAGCAAGCGAAATACCACTTCTTGGGTGCATCGTTGGTAAGAACGGTGTACGTCCTGATCCCGAAAAGATCAAGGCGATCGCCGACTGGCCCGTGCCGGTCGATGTCAAAGGTCTTCGAAAATTCCTTGGGCTAGCGGCGTATTTGCATAAGTATTCACGCAATTACGCCGAGATGACTGTACACCTCTCTCGTTCGTTGGAAAGAACGAGAGGTGGTTATGGAACGCTGAATGTCAACGCTCCTTTGAGGGTATCAAGCAGAGCTTGATACAATCCCCAGTCCTAGCAATAGCCGATCAGGACAGGCCATTTCATGTGGTCTGTGATGCCAGCGATTTCGCAATCGGCTGTGCATTAATGCAGTACGACCTTGAAGGCGTTGGAACGCGTCGTCTGCTATCAGTCGCGTCAGCTGCAACCAGCTGAGCGGAACTATCCAGTGCATGACAAGGAACTCCTTGCCATGAAGTATGCACTCGCGAAGTTCAGAGTCTATCTATTAGGAGATAGACCCTTCGTTGTTTACACTGACCATGCGTCCTTACGCACGGCAGTGAACAGCCCGCACCTTTCACAACGAATGGCGCGGTGGTTGTCATTCTTTGCAGAATACAACTTTACGGTCGAGTACAAACCAGGACGACTTAATGTCGTCGCTGATGCACTCTCACGTCGTCCCGACTTTGAAACAGTCGCGGAAACCCAACAGTGAGACAGTCACTGTTGCGGTTATGACGTCCTCAGTTCCATCTACAACGTTGTATGATGATGTGAGGCGGGCATACGCCCAAGATGGTGAGATAGTGAAGTTGTTGTCACATCTCTCCCAACCATCTCGAGAATCGTTGAAACGATTGTCGTCTGCGTATCGATCTGCATCAGATCGATACACTACTCGTAACGGTTTACTGTACTATACAGCCGTTTCTGGTGACACACCACGTGTTGTCATTCCAGATGATACTGATCTGCGTTTGCGGATCATGTTCGAGTATCACGATGCTCCTATAGGAGGACATCGTGGCCGAGAGAAAACATATCTCACGGTAAGTCGAGACTTTTACTGGCCCCGCCAGTATCAGTTTGTGCGAAAGTATGTTCGCGCATGCGAAGTCTGCCAACGAGTGAAGTCAAGTCCTTCACTGCGTGCACCTTTACAGCCTCTACCGGTTCCGGCTGAGTGCTGGGAATCCATCTCAATGAATTTCGTCTTCGTGTTACCCAAAGACGCACGCGGGAATACGGGTATTCTCGTATTTGTTGACAGATTCAGCAAAATGGTACACCTTGTGGCTGTACCAGAGACAATCACGGCAAGTGGCTGTGCTTGTGTCTTTATTGACACCATCTTCCGACTTCATGGGTTGCCCCGTGAACTCGTATCAGACAGAGATCCACGATTCACTGCTGATTTCTGGCGTTCCGTGTTCAAATCACTCGGAACGCGCTTGAAGATGTCAACATCTGATCATCCAGAGTCAGATGGTCAGACGGAACGTGCCAACCGTGTCCTCGAAGAGATACTTCGAGGATACGTACACTCCTTTAAAAGTTGGAGTGAGTTTTTGCCAATGGTAGAGTTTGCCATCAACAACTCGGTGCATGCGTCCACGACGCATACACCGTTTTACGTGAATGGCTTGCGCCATCCGCGTGTACCCACCTTACTAGAGTGTAACTCTGGTTTAAGGGGGGGAGGGACTCGCGCGAGCAAAAACCGAATTGGTTCACGCTCATCACGCTCTGACGAAGAAGTCATTGCGTTTGATGCCGATATCGATAACATCGATATCGAAGAAGATGATGCCAGTGAGAGTGCGGAAGCCCTCACTGAAGACAATGATGTCAGTGAGAGTGCGGAAGCCCTCACTGAAGAAAAGGTTGTTGTTGCTGCAGTGCGCTCACAGCACACTGAAGCTAACGAGTCATCAGATGAGTTCATACTGGCTCGTGAAACGGTAGTCCGTTTTGTGCAAGACTCCATCGCCGAAGCGGTGGATAAGCAAAAGCAAAACGCTGACAAGAATGGAAGGGCAAACACTCTTTTAATTTAATAAAGGTGACTTAGTCCTACTGTCTACGGTTAATCTACCAAAACATGTAGTGACTAACTTGGGTAGCAGTAAACTACTACCCAAGTACATTGGCCCATTTCGTGTATTGCACCGCCTAGGCAATGCATACACGATCGAGTTACCACGTAAGATGCGAACGCATCCCACGTTTTACGTTGGTCGGCTTAAGCCGTACCATCAGTACGCTGCTTCTTCCGATGAAGAACGCCCTTGCGCTCAAGCATCTCGCAGAGAGCCTTGTGCTCCCGATGAGTGGGCATCAACAAGGGTCTGAAGAGCAGTTATCTCAGCCCGAGACCGATCAACAATCCCACGAGCTACCCTTAGCTCGTCACGAAGAGATGTCAGAGATCTCTCGTTCTCAAGCTGAGCAAAGGCAAACTCAGCTCGATGCTTCGAGGCAGTGTCCACCATCTGGAGACGCCTATTCCGCTCATGCTCGAGATCGTCGCGTAACCCTTGCGTTACGCGATCAAAGAAGCTCTCGGGAACACACCGATCCACATGATCGTGTGGAGAGCGTCTTTCCTCCTCCTCCACCTCCATTAGAGGACTCTCGCGGTGGCCAGCGCTATCTAGTAGAGCAGCTGTTGAACCACCGCGACGTGAACGGACGTCGGACGAGTTACCTCGTCCGGTGGCGCGGCTATCCCCCGTCCTGGGATTCTTGGGAGCCCCGCTCCCAATTGATGGTTGACGTACTGGGTCTGGTCGAGGCAGTACGACGCGACACATCCTGTGCCGCAGAAGGACCGCCGGAGAAAGTCTTCCCGGCACGGTCGTAAAGGGATTTCAGGTTGTCAATCCCTTCGTACATCTCAGTAGAGACACGTACGCGCCACCACGGGCTGGTAAGGAGGTAAGCCTCCTTAGGTGCTCGTGCAGAGTTGTTCACACAACATGGGCACGAGTCTCCCCAAGAGAGGCAGGGTAATCCTTTCTCCCTTGACAGACGATGCAGCTTATAGCGTGCACCTGTCGGGGTTCGCTTTTCAAACTTATCACGAGCTTTGATAAGTTTGTCGTTCCAAGCGTCACGACCTACATCCTCAAGGTTATGGATGTAGGCGTTCCACGCCTGAAGCAGTAAGGGACCATCACGCTTGTGATTCCCACTGTACCATCGATGTTTAAAGAAAGCATCGATGAAGAATTCATGTTCAGCGCGATAGTTTTTCGCGCTGGGGTCAAGGTGATGGATCCTTGACGAATCGAACAACCGTGTTCGATAACGATCACTCGTCGTCGCCGACAAGTGACCCATGACGGATTTGGGAGGCATCCATGTCTTCTTCGCAGGAGCGAGACGCAACACATTGCGGTCCCGCTCTTCCTGCGACGTGCCGACAGAAGTACTGGCACCTCGCTGTGAAGTGGTGTCCATTGGAGAAACGACACCACTGTTAGCGCCCGAGTCTCGCGACCTCGAGCGCCTTCGCTTCGGCGATGGTTCATCTGACTCATCAGATGAACCAAAGATGCTGCGACGCAAAGCATCGTTCATGCCACGCTTGGCAGGCGGCTTGGATTCAATTGCCGTCGATATGGATCCGTCATCCGTATCAGGAGAGTACGAGACACCGAGCTCATACTCTGTGAAGACACGAGTGTCTTCATGACCAGCGCCTGCATCACCAGGTGATACAGGCTGAGTCGATTCAGCAACCGATGGGATATCAGTTGCTGTAGTTTCTGCTTCGGCGTCCGCACAGAGACGTGCAGACGCGCTCTCGGCGGCCTTGCTCGCGCATCGCATGGGCTTGTTTACCATGCGATGAGATGTTGGAAAGTGGACGCGGACCAACAAGTGCAAACCCCGTCCCAAATGATTTGGGACGAGTATCCATTTAGTCAATCAGTCACTAAAGTGACTGATGGTTAAGGGGGTGATGTAACGGGGTGAATCGTTACATAACAATTTATAAGAAATTGTTAATAGAATATAACTATAAGAGTTATATTCTCAGAATATTGTCATAAGGACAATATTCTGTAGCACTTCCAAGTAGTTCCTAATTGGTTGATATAGGCCATTATATCAACCAACGAAGACGCGCCACGACAGACGCACGCAATGAGTGGTGAGCAGATAACTGATTTACACATTTGTATTTAGACATAGTTAGATGAAGATAAATAGTGATTTATTGCAGACATTAACTATTATAAATACAGTTCTACTTTTACTCTAACCGAGTACTCGCTTCTTCTTACCGTCTTCCTCTGCACGTACGAGTGTACGTGAAGTTACGAGGCACCGCCTTATTCTGTTATCAGAATAAGTAGCTTGTACTGTCACCAGTACAAGCTTCAGGGTGCCCCGTTACAGCCTTCATCCTTTCTAAGCACTTAAGTTTAGCGCAGTCCCCACAACCTTGCTAGAAGTACACTCAGCAAGGCTCTCAGCCTCCTTCACCACGTCACGTGCAGTCCCCACAACCTTGCTAGAAGTACATTCAGCAAGGCTCTCAGCCTCCTTCACCACGTCACGTCCTAAATCGAGTCATGACCTACGAAGGCCAACTGAGGTCTGAACTCCTTGAGTTGACCCACGATCGTCTAGCTCAATTTCGGCACCGGTCTTGGCAGCTTCGATGCAACGGGTAGCGTTACGTCGCGATTCACCTTCTCCCATGGCTATAAGCGAGGAATATTCTTGTATCATAGAGCGTGCCCTTGGACACCGCGATCTTTAGCCTGCGCGTGGCGTGAATCGCGGGTTACCCAGTTTTAACTTGAAAATGCGAACTACCGCGTTCGTTGTATGGGCTTTTCTTCCGAAAGTGACTCGTAGTAGCCACGTAAGACACTCCTGGTGTACGTTTCATTGTGGTAAAGTCGCTAACCATTTTTTGGTACGTGGATCGGTGACCACCCAGTTGAGACGCCACTAACTGGCAGGAAAAAAAATACCAGGTGATCAAGGACACGGTAAGATGTCTAAGACAAGACGACAAATTAGAAAGAACTCTAAAGGTCAAGGAGACAATAAGATATCTGAGATAAGACGACAAATCAGAAAGAACTCTATGGAGCAATCTGGGATAAGAGAGCGGGACGAAGTCATACAACTCGTTTAAATGTTGGTCAAGAAGAAATGTGCGTACATTGAAGCAGGCGAAGACCAGATCGCAGATCGAAATGCTGTGGCGGCGGCCCTCTGAAGACTTGAAATAACAGGTACAAGTTGATTTCCCAGGGTACATCTGGGACCAGGTGGTATGGATCGGTGAATCTGCAACGAGGGTGCAACACTATACGGATCGGTGATACTCTTTACCGATCCTATAATGGGAGCACTGATTTTGGCTAAGTATACCCCGATCTGGAAGTCATGAGTACTCAGGGGAGTCAAGGAAGCCTATGTCGAGGCGTATGGATGAGGTTGTCGACTGGATAAATACAGGAGGATGATATTACATCACGTACAATGAGACGAAAGAGTTTCAATCGCTGATCTATACCGGACTGATCTCCAACATCTCGATATAGGGCAACAGATCAGTCATATTCCACACTGATCATGTAAAAATGGTTGATGAGGATACCAAATCATGTGAAATATACTTGACGAAGGTCCCTAAGTGATGTCGAAATATTTAGACCGAAAGAGCCAGAGGAAGCCGTCCGAATTGACGTCGCAATATAGATTTGGACACATACGACAATTTGGGTCATGTAATGGGTTTGCGCCAATAATGGGTATTTGGCACCATATTTAAAATTTGGGTACATTAAGTGTTCTAGGTACAATATCGGGAATACCGGCGCTACCATTGGCGTACAGGGCACGAAATTTGACAAGTGCCAAGGGGGCGATCCAGATTCCTGGTGATAATGGTTAGGAAAGTGACCTAGAGTTAAAAATAGGCGGAAGGGTAGGTTGAATATTTCTTGGGTTGGTTAATAAACAGACTTGAACTCTACTTCTTCTACACACTGCACACATCCCCCTTTTCCGGTCAAGATTTCTTTGGATTCCCGACGGCTCAAGGCACGCGTGTACAAGGCCACTGAAGACCGATCTTGGATTTGTTAGCCAAGATTGGACGAAGAGCGGTCTTGGAGAATTTGGCCCGGATCGATCAAGTACACACTCTCAACTCAACTGCTACGGTAGCAGCAACAACGAAAAAGGATTTTAGACACAAAATCGCACACTGCTCAATTGGTTGGAAGATCTGAACCAGGAGTTCAGACAAGACCAAGCAAGATCAAGTGATCAACAGGACATACCGGCACGATTCATTTTAGCGAAGCGCATGTTCTATCTGGCCTAAGCTGCGCACTTCTGACTAGAGCGGCCGATCTCGAAACCAGATCGGGCCGATTTCGAGGAAAGATCGACGCAGACCTTTTTCTATTTACAGAGTGAAGATTCCCACACAGTGAAGATCCCAATCCTGAAGACGAGATCGAGATTGGTGCAATCCAGGATCGAGATCGTGATATCTCCGAATCAGAGACCGCAGCGACTCAAGGTCAAGATTGCAGAACCTAGTTCGTGGTGTGAAGATTTCCACACCGGAACGAACTCTCAACCCCAAACCCCAGCTAGATCTACATCTACCAAGGCCATTACGAAGAACTCAAGCCAGCCCAATCGACGGGTACACAAGGTGAGCGTAAGGTTATACTACAAGGCACGGATCGAAGTACCCCGTCCGTGATTCGGCAAGTCCGGGCAAGCGGAAGATCGACACTCACATCTGCGAAATTGTGAGATGGACTTCACCACAATAGATTAAGTAAAGGACAATGAATGCCAGGAGAGCGATGTCGTTTGCTCCACGCAGCGCTTGATATTGGATCATCATCTTGACGCCATAATTAACCACGACGCACTGATGAATGTGAGAGAAAGTGCGGTGCATCTCGTGATGGAGTAGTATTAATGCTCGGAGACGACTTTTTGGTGTCGATGGGGTATCTACCTGCTCTGTTTGTATCTCCTATTCACGTCTATTGGAAAGGCTGTAATCGTCGAGATTGCGTCAGTTCCTTCCAGCCCATGTGCGCTCTTCTTCCGACAATGCACATATCACAGGGCTGCTGAACATTGATCTCGGTTGAAGCGCGCAACGGATCGTAGTTTGCAGCTTCGACACTATTTGAGGCACAAAACTATGCAACAAAGCTGGTCTGCAGCACATGGCAACGTACTCACTTTATCAAGGGTCTCCATGAGGATATTTCGATTTAGCTATTCTTCAAGCACTGGGATGAGTTTTGCGAACCCAGGTCCAAGGTTGCACCGGCGAATATTGTAATCTACAATTTTTCCAGCGTTATGAGCATAGACTGTTTCACGGCACATTTTACCGTTCATTTCTTGCTGATAACCTACCTTGATCATCATTTCATTTCTTTCATCTCGAAGTCAACGCGGATATTTTAAATCCTGCGACAATTAAACCGCTCCTGGACGCGAAGGCTCCCACGTACATACGTGGAAAGAAGATTTCTGTAGTCATCGTCGCTGTGTCTGGTCCTGTTGCTTTGTGCTGCTTTAACGGGTTCTTTCTTACAGATGGTACCCCTACCTTCGTGTATCGAGTGTGCATCGCATTTCCTGAAATGTCGTCATACATGGACTTAGCTATCTGTAATTTTCGTACTAGAACTACAATGTCGTTAGTTCTCTTTCGATATTTCTGTTGCTACTATTTTTTAGCACATAAAAGTATGTATTATTTTTGTGGGGAGATGAAACGGGGCATTCTCGCTATACTACTTGCTCATTACATTTCTAACAAATATTATAGTAGGCAATTTTACATAGGTGCACGTGTATCTAAGTAGAAATATGCTGCACATGAGATTGCGCTTCAATGGCGTTTTATTGTTACTTAGTCAAGTTGGTGCAGTCTCGTTATCGATCAATAGGATGCGAAGTTTCGTTGAGTGGTCATCGTATTTCCAAGATCAGTCGTACTTTGGACAATTATTGATTAAGCGTTCAAATAAAGCAATTACATTTCAGATTAACTTAAAATCAGCACACGTTTACACATGTCAATCCTTTATGCTTCCTCGTAAGACCGTTGGTGGGTGTCTACGCAACAAAGATTTCGTCCCGTTACAAAATGAATGTCATACCCACTGCTTGTACTAACGTAAGAAATTGATTTCAGTTTCAAATAGAAATTATGGACTTAAGCGAAATGGTTGGTTTGTAATGAAGTCTAAGATAATGTTCATTAATTTTTTAAAAATAAGTATCCTGATATCCGCCCCGAATTTACTCTCTCTCGTTGGAATCAAATGAACTCGGCGACGAGACCCTTCCAATAGGAGCGCGTAAAATTTATTCCTGTTTCGTATCTCGAGGCTTCATTAGACTCACCATGTTGTTGAACAAGCCAATTTGATTAGAGGTTTAATCGAATTTTCTTTACGAGGCGTATTTTTAATTTAAAGGTGAATCGCTATACGATTATCCACAAATGTTGCACTTTTAAGACTAGGTGACTACAAAATTTAAGGTAGTGGGATCGTACATTTAAATTACAAGGAGGTTTAAAGCTAAGTGAATCTTTTCCATAATTTGTGGAAAATTGTATCTAGCCGCAGTAAAGTTGATCATCATCCTTCTTATTTTAATTGGTCAAGCTCAATTGGCCACAAACGTTTTTCTATTAATTTCGTAGCGGCATGTATCAAAGATACTCTGCGCGTATCAAGCATCACTTGGTCTCCAACTTGAAACTCAGTGTTAATTAACCGGCGATTTCGTTCGTAGTGCTGCTTTTGTGT